CTTTCACAGGGGTCGCCTAAGACCATCGGAAAATACATATATAATTACATATTGTTTTTGTGATTAATCACTATGCTTTAATTATGTTCAATTTGTAACAATGAAAATACATCCTGCATATCAGATATTTATATTACGATTCATAACAGTAGCAAAATTACAGTTATGAAGTAGCAACGAAAATAATTTTATGGTTGGGGGTCACCACAACATGAGGAACTGTATTAAAGGGTCGCGGCATTAGGAAGGTTGAGAACCACTGATCTAAGGTATTTATATAGGCAGAAGTTAAGTGAAATGTCTATCTAGGTAAGCAAAGTATATGTCAGTCATTACATTGAGGAGATTTTTTGTATTGCAGTTCAACTAGAAATTTTCCACAAATTTTTTTTTAAGAATCTAAGTTTTATTTTGGATAGTCTCAGCTCAGAAGGAAAAGGTTTACTTGACCAACATAGCTCAGTGATTGAGTTTCGACCTACGAATCGGGAGATCACAGTTCTCTTCACGGCAGGGGCACATACCTGGGTTGTGGCCTCGATCTCCAGTGTGGGCGTGCAGGAGGCAGCAGATCAATGATTCTCTCTCATCATTGATGTTTCTATCTCTCTCTTCCTCTCCCTTCTTCTCTGATATCAATAAAATAAAAACAGAAAAGAAGGAAAGTGTCTTATGTGGCTTAAAGGACAATTACTTTTGTCAACTTTAAAATCTAAGTTAGAGAAATGTTTAACCTTTTGTTTTTCAGTGGTATTTTAAAGATTCATAGATGCTATAATAATTAAGTTTCTTGGTCTAAATTAATAAACTTATCTTTGAATTCAGAATATTTTGCTTGCAAAAATGAAAACATAAACAGCTAATCCCTCTCTTTATAAAACTTGTCAGTGGTAGAAAACAAATAATATGGAAAAGTAATATAAATATATTCTGAATGGGTGGGGTAGAGAGTATCTTATTTGCATTCATTGTTTTAGAAGAAATGATGAAGTTCTGCAAATATCTGAGGCAGGAGAAATTAGTAAGTAGTTAAGTATCTGGTATATTTTTTTCCTTCAGACTCTTTCCCTTAGTTCTCCATTCTGTGCTAGAGACCAACACCTTTTTTTTCCCTTTTACTGCGTGAGAATATAGTTTTCTTAAGTTGGAGAATATAAATCTTTTGATGATTATAGGCTTTCTCTTGGGCTGCAGTTTATGTAAAGATAAAGAACCATAAAGATCACTATCAAAATATATTATCACTAATCTAAACAACCTTTCAGGTTTCCTTTTCTTTAATGTCAAAAATGTTTCTGAGATACCTCCTTTCTAATCACCCAACCAGAAGATGAGGACAGCCTGCATTAATAGTTTTGTATTCAGATTGACCTGAGTTCCAATCATAGCTTCTCCATAGTAGTGATATAACTTACCCAAGCTTCACCTTTATCATTTTTAAATATCTCCCAGCCCCCTAGCTTTGATAATTTTAATTTTATATTTTTTACTTAGTTAAAATACTACCCATATATTAATGGCTTCTCTCTGCCTCTGTCAATAATAACCTTTCTGTTGGTTTCAGGAGTTCAACAAGATGTAGCTTCACAATCTCTGGATCAAGAAGTTTTATTAAAAGTTAAAACTGAAATTGAAGAAGAGCTAAGATTTCTGGACAAAGAAATTTCTGAAGGTCTCTTTATTATTACTTTCCTAGTTAATTAGAAGATTCTGTTTGGTGTGGTTTACAGTTGGTTTAATTTGATTCTTTACAATAGTGTGTTCTCAACATTACACAGCTTCATTGGTACAGGATTATAAGAGTGAAACTAGTGGTTACTCATTTTTCTTTCCTAGGGGATATGTTTCTAAATTTTTCCTAACTGTTCACAACAGTTTAAATGTAGCCTTTTCTGATGTTAAGTGATGGGTTCAACAATCATGTTAAGGTACTTTCCATTCAATGTAACAACATTAAGGGGAAAAATGTGAGTAAACTGCCCTAACTGGTTTGGCTCAGTGGATAGAGCGTCGGCCTGCGGACTGAAAGGTCCCAGGTTTGATTCCAGTCAAGGGCATGTACCTTGGTTGCAGGCACATCCCCAGTGGGAGGTGTGCAGGAGGCAGCTGATCGATGTTTCTCTCTCATTGATGTTTCTAACTCTCTCTTTCTCCCTTCCTCTCTGTAAAAAATCAATAAAATAAATTTTTTAAAAAATGTGAGTAAACTGCTTTCAGTTTTGCATTATATATGCTATAGATCAGCTGTTGCCAACCTTTCGGACCTCCGTGGGCCACCGGTTGGTGACCACTGCTATAGATAGTTGTAATAGTAATACAGATGTAATTTTATAGCCGTATGTTTTGTACTTAAATTATGTCATAAACTTTAAAAATTGTTATCATTGTAGTAACTAAATGAAATTCAATGCATTGAATGACTGTTCAATCATTCCCTTATTATTGAGGAGAGCATTTGGATTATTTTGAACCCACAATATGGGCATGTGCCCTGACCAGGAATCGAACCAGTGACCTTTCAGTGCAGTGACTTTTCAGTGCATGGGATAATGCTCAACCAGCTCAGCCACACTGGCCAGGGCCTAGTACAAGTTTTTGTGTGGATATATATTGCCCAATAATTGTTTTTTTTTTTTAATATATTTTATTGATTTTTTACAGAGAGGAAGGGAGAGGGATAGAGAGGTAGAAACATTGATGATGATGAGAGAGAAACATCGATCAGCTGCCTCCTGCACATCTCCTACTGGGGATGTGCCCGCAACCCAGATACATGCCCTTGACTGGAATCGAACCTGGGACGTTTCAGTCCGCAGGCCGACGCTCTATCCACTGAGCCAAACCAGTTTCGGCGCCCAATAATTGTTTTAAAAAATATATTTTTATTGATTTCAGAGAGAAAGGGAGAGGGAGAGAGAGAGAGAGATAGAAGCATCAATGATGAGAATCATTGATCCGCTGCCTCTTGCACACCCCACACTGGGGATTGGACCTGCAACCCAGGCATGTGCCCTGACTGGGAATTGAACCGTGACCTCCTGGTATGTAGGTCGATGCTCAACCACCAAGCCACTCCATTTGGGCTATTGCCCAATAATTTTTAACAAGAAAAATTATAAATCATGTTTATAAAATCAGTTCCCTGTTAGTAAAGAATATGAATAGAGATTTACAAATCATCCAGAAACCTAATTTTAGTCTTTTATTTTCCTTTGCCGACATTATAAATTTTTTTTAAATCCTCACCCACGGATATGTTTAGAGAGAGAGAGAGCTCGCACATGCGAGTGCAAGAGCATGTGATCACGTGCTTGTTCATCATTGCTCAGTGGTTGAGCGTCGACCTGTAAACCAGGAGGTCACGGTTCTATTCCTGGTCAAGGCACATGCCAGGGTTGCAGGCTCAATCCCCAGTGTGGGGCATGCAGGAGGCAGCCTTTTAAGGATTCCCTTTCATCATTGATGTTTTTATCTCTCTCCCTCTCCCTTCCTCTCTGAAATCAATAAATATATACTTAACAAAGAGAGAGAGAGAGAGAGAGAGAGAGAGAGAGATTGAGAGAGAGAGAAAAAAACACACACATCGATGTGAGAGAGAAACATCGCTCCGTTGCCTTCTGTATGCACCCTGACCAGAAATCGAACCTGCAACCGTTTGGTGTACAGGACGATGCTCCAACCAACTGAGCCACCTGGCCAGGGTCTTTACCAACATTTTCATTTTCAGAGTATTTTATTGATTTTTAGAGAGAGAGGAAGGGAGAAGAGAGAAACATCGATATGGGAGTGTAACATCCATCGGCTACCTCCCACACACCCCAACCACTATTTTTAACTGACTAAAGTTCCAATTCTATTTTAAGTCTTTGTCCACTTCTGGTGGCAGTACTTATACATAGTAAAATGGGCAAAAGGTCAAAAGAAGAGAAACAACAACAAAGGCTTAATTGCACTCACCTCATTGAACCCTCTTATTAACCAAGACTGATCATTATAATGTGCATCCTCAAGCTTGCTCAGACAACAAAATATTTGTGCATCTTTCATACACTTAATAAAGAAGTAGTATACATAACAGCCTTCTAGGAGCAAGCCTTAGATTAATGCAATAAATACTTCATGGAGATTATTGATAACTCTTGTGAGTGGGTGTAAGCTGCTTACTTTACTGGGATTCTGTGCCCTGAATCCTGTTTGTACCTTGGAACAACAATGATTCTGCTTGTTATCCTGCATTTTGAGAATGGCTAAGTCAGTATAACATGGAGTAAAGAAGCAAATGAGAAGCTGATGGTTTGAGCTGAGGAGAACAGGCTATGACTCTTTATCCATATGCAATTTGTCTACTTGTATAATCTTCAGAGTTTTAACATTTATTCATGGAGTTAAAAAGTTCAATTTAAAAAGGGAATGGAAGTAATTGACTCATTTTATGAGGTGGAATAAACTGATTTGAGTCTGGTTTAAGAAGTGCCACATTGCCCTAGCCAGTTTTGCTCAGTGGATAGAGCATCGACCTGTGAACTGAAGGGTCCTGGGTTCGATTCTGGTCAAGGGCACATGCCTGGGTTTCAGGCTCAATCCCCACCGGGGTGTGCAGGAGGCAGCCAATCAATGATTCTCTCTCATCATTGATGTTTCTATCTCTCTCCCTCTCCTTTCTTCTCTGAAATCAATAAAGATATATTAAAAAACAGTGCTGCATTTATAAAGGTAAAAAACAAAAGTTTAAAAGGAAAATATTAAGAGAGGGATGATAGATCTGGCAGTTGCCTCTCATATATCATTCTTATATCACATTGGTCTGTAATAATGCACTAAATTGGTTTGTATATTTTAACATTTCAGTTTAGTCTTTTTCTTATGGAAACTAAGATGTTCCATAAACATATTTTCTTAAAAAAAAATCTCTAAATGTAGGACGTATCCAGGAAAGATTGATATCTTGTAGTGATTTTCTGACCTTTATAAGTGACTTATAACTTAGCTCATTCTCAGTAGCAGTTGTCTTAATCCCCTGAGCTTTTATAGCACAACTTTTGATAATATATATTGAATTAGATTTTCTTTTGCCCTGTCTTAGCCTTCACCAACATAGGCTTTGACCAGCACATGTCTCCAGTGTTCAGCCCTGCTAACCCAGTAGAAGACTGCTTGGCTCATCTTGGGGAAAGAGTGTCCCAGGAACTGAAAGAGCCTCTACATAAGGCATTGCAAGTGCTCCTCAGCCAGTGAGTTACCATTGCTTCTCTAAGTAGTCTTCTGCAGTGGGTTGGTTAAGACTTTGTTTTACATAAACGGTGTAACTTCTTTTATCACTTAATTTTTTTCACTCTTTCTTCTCTTGCTTTTCCAAAGCATCTCTGTTTGTGTTTTGAGTGACAATATTTGCATCAAAGAAGTGATTTAACTATTCCAACATGGATTTGACTATTTGTATTTTCTTGTTGAGCTGTCAGGTTTCAGCAAATACTTTCACTGAGTAAATACAAGCTATATTATTTGTCCTGACCACTTTTACTACCATTCTCTAGTGGCCAACACAAATATAATGGCTCGGTTTTTATGTCTTGTACTTTGGGATTAACATTACATCTGTATTTTAGGTATCCCAGATGTTGCTGTACTTTGGGGTTGCACCATCTGCCCATGGAACTACTGCTATATTCTTATAGTGTGAACTCAGCTCCTAGCTATGGTTCTGACTTTCTCTCTCTCTTTCCCCCTCCCTCCCTTACAGCTAAAGGCAAGAGGCTTATAGTGAAAGTATATTAAAATAGAACCACATCATTTTTTATAAATCTTAAAAATTCATTTTTCCTAATTTTTTGCTGAGAATCATTAAGGAATTGATATGAATTAGAAAAAACATTTGTTGCTGAAGCCGGTTTGGCTCAGTGGATAGAGCGTCGGCCTGCGGACTGAAGGGTCCCAGGTTCGATTCCGGTCAAGGGCATGTACCTGGGCTGCGAGCACATCCCCAGTGGGAGATGTGCAGGAGGTGGCTGATCGATGTTTCTCTCTCATCGATGTTTCTGGCTCTCTGTCTCTCTCCCTTCCTCTCTGTAGAAAGTCAATAAAATATATTTAAAAAAAATAAAAAAATAAAAAATATATATAAAAAAAAAAAAGAAAAGAAAAAACATTTGTTTTAATGAACGTTGGCAACTATCTAAAACAGGATGACATCTCTTCTTTTTCTAAAAGGGCCAAAATTCAGCCCTAACCGGTTTTACTCAGTGGATAGAGCATCAGCCCACGGACTGAAGGGTCCCAGGTTGGATTCTGGTCAAGGGCATTTACCTTGGTTGCAGGCTCAATCTCCAGTAGGGGGCATGCAGGAGGCAGCTAATTGATGTTTCTAACTCTTTATCCCTCTCCCTTTTTCTCAGTTAAAATCAATAAAATATAAAATAAATAAATCCTAAATAATAAAAGGGTAATATGCAAATAGACCAAATGGCAGAATGACTGGTTGCTATGACGTGCACTGACCACCAGGGGGAAGACCAATGCAGCAGCTACCCCCTGGTGGTCATTGTGCTCCCACATGGGGAGTGCCACTCAGCCACAAGCTGGGCTGACGGCTGGCAAGTGCAGCAGCAGTGATGGGAGCCTCTCCCACCTCCGTGGCAGCGCTAAGGATGTCTAACTGTGGCTTAGGCCCGCTCCCCACCTAAGCCATCAGTCGGGCATCCCCTGAGGGCTCCCGGACTGCAAAAGGGCACACGCTGGGCTGAGGGATCCTCACCCCCTGAGTGCACAAATGTCGTGCACCAGGCCTCTAGTAAATAATAAAAGGGCCAAAATTCAGATGCTACAGTGTTGTTGTAGTAAGGTAATTCCTTACTTTCATGTAGGCAGAGTTTATATGTTACCATGTAGTAGAAGGAAGCAATATGGGTTTAACGAGAATTCACTTTGTTAAGGTGACATGAGCAAATGTAAAAATGCAATTATATATAGGAAACAGTGAAATGAAAATTACATTTGGATCTTCTTAACCTTATATATAGGAAAGTTTAAAAATAAATATGGAGCCCTGGCTGGTTTGCTCAGTAGTTAGAGTGTCAGCCCCATGCAGGTTTGATTCCCCATTAAGGGCACATACCTGGGTTGTTGGTTTGATCCCTGGCCCCAGATGGGGCATGTGTGGGAGGCAACTAATCATTGTGTCTCTCTTGCATCGAAGTTTCTCTTTGTCTCTCTCTTTCCCCCTCCCTCCTTTCCAGTCTCTCTAAAAACCAATGGAAAAAATATCTTCAGGTGAAGATTTACAAAAAATAAAAATAAATAAATATGGAGAGGAGATTACAATATAGGTGTTGGGAAATAAGACAATAGGAAATTTGGAGATGGCTGTGGATTTCAAAGTATTCTATGGAGCCTTCTGGGCCCTTGCAGAGGTGAGGACAGGGTGAGTGGGTAGGGTTTATTAGTGCCTCTCCACTGCTCTTAAACCAGAATAGCTATACTTTCACATATGTTATATATTTATGTTTCATGTAAGATTTGAAGAAATTTTGTTTGCCAAAACAAACAAAACTTGTACAAGCTATTGGGACTGGGAGTAGAATAACTGAGATATATAAGACAAAAAAATTCTGTTTCCACCCTGACCAGTTTGGCTCAGTGGCTAGAGCATCGGCCTGTGGACTGAAGAGTCCCAGGTTCGATTCCAGTCAAGGGCATGTACCTTGGTTACGGGCACATCCCCAGTAGGGGGTGTGCAGGAGGCAGCTGATCATTGTTTCTCTCTCATGGATGTTTCTAACTCTCTATCCTTCTCCCTTCCTCTCTGTAAAAAAATCAATAAAATATATTTTTAAAAAAATTCTGTTTCCAATTTTTTAAAATAATTTTTAGGGAGGGAGGGAGGGAGAGAAAGAGAAGGAAGCATTGATTTGTTCTACTTATTTATGCATTTATTGGTTGCTTCTTGTATGTGCCCTAACCAGATATCTAACCTGAAGCCTAGTGTATTAGAATGATGCTCTAACCAACTAAGTTACCCTGCCAGAGCCCTGTTTCCAATTTATTTTTAAAAAATATATTTTTATTGATTTCAGAGAGAAAGGGAGAGGGGAAGAGAGATAGAAACATTAATGATGAGAGATAATCATTGTTTGGCTGCCTCCTGCATCCTCCTACTGGAATTCGAACCTGAAACCTGGCCATGTGTCCTGATTGGAAATCGAACTGTGTGACCTCCTGATTCATAGTTCGACACTCAACCACTGAGCCACATCAGCCCAGCCCTGTTTCTGGTTTTGATACAAACTATTTGTAGCTTTGAGCAAACCATTTCACTCTATATCTCAATTTATCCATCTGTCAATTTTAACTTAACTTGGATATTATGAGCACTCTAAAGAACAGTATTATATAGGTTTTTGAAAAAGTATTGTTTTTGGAGTCCTTTTCATAGTGTATAAGAAAAATTGGTATTTTCTCACTGCAATGTAAGTGATATTTTTTAAAAATCTTATTTTTGATGAATTTTATTTATTTATTTTTCTCTAGACTCTGAATACTGATATAATTATTTTTGAAATTGGTATCTCTGGTGGTTAGGCATCTGAATAAAATTTTTTTTCAGAAATCTCATTTTTCCTTTTGTATTGTGTTTATTTTCAGTATTTTTCTTCTACTCAAAGATAAATATTTTTACTTTTAAGACATGTTAAGATCTTTCCTTTATAGAATCTAAAGGATATCTGATGTAATTTTCAAATGGCAAATACTAAAGCAGAGGTCTTTTATTTTTTAAGGAATATTGAACTCAACATATATCCTGTTTTAGCAGTTAAGAAGAAATGTTCTAGTAGATTTTAGCCAATTTTGAAAAAAATATGTGTGATTATCAGAAATACACTTTTGAAAGTTGTTAAGTGCTTTTACTAATACCTTAAAAATAACTATCTGATGATGAACTAGAATTATTTTTTGTTGTTGATCCTCATCTGAGGATATTTCTCCATTGATTTTTGGAGAGAGTAGAAGGGAGGAAGAGAGACAGAGAGAAAAACATTGATGTGAGAGAGACACATTGATGATTGCTTCCCGCACGCACTCCGCAGGGCTGGGATGGAGTCTGCAACTGAGGTACGTGCCCTTGACCAGAATCAAACCTGGGACCCTTTAGTCCATGGGCCAATGCTCTGTTCACTGAGCAAGACTGGCTAGAGCTAGAATTACTTAAAACATTTTTTAAAAAATACGTTTTCATTTTTAGAGAGAGAAGAGGGAGAGGGATAGAGAGATAGAAACATTGATGAGAGAGAAACATCATTGATGGGCTGCCTCCTGTATACCCTTCACTGGGTTTCAAGCTCACACCCCGTGCATGTGCCCTGACTGGGAATCATATTGGTGATCTCTTGGTTCATGGGTCAACCAACCACTGAGCCACACCTGCCGAGCATGAACTAGAATTATTATGTAGGTTCATGGCAGTATTTTTTAAGGTGGAAGATACCACCCACCCTCCATTTTCTTTCTTGTTCTGTTTTCAAGTAGCTCATTTGAAAGGGCTGGCTTTTCTGCTACACTTTTCTATCTATTAGATGTCCTTTGATTGTTTTAATCTGCTGGATTGTTAATGTGCATATATGTGTGTACATATGTTTCAAATCATTTCATTCTGAAGGATGCTATTTTAGCCTGATAGACAAACTACCAATAAGATCTACTGTGACCCACAGTAGCATCAAACAGTTCAGGAAAGGAAGTGAAGGGGCTGATATACGCAAGTAAAGCTTCAGGGAGAATATAGGTAGGTAGACTGTATAGTATCTGCTGAAGTTTAGGATTTACAAACACGTAGTATTTAGTACAAGTTTTCTAAAAAAAAATACTAAGCTCATTTGGATGGGAATATATCAGGAAGGTAGTATATAACATATATATTTTTTAAATTAAATTTATTGGGGTGAAATTGGTTATATAAAATCTTATTAAAAAGGTCACCCCTGGTGTCTCAGCATCACTGTAGTATTGATTTTATTTTGACTTGTATAAAAGAATGATACCCATGTCATCATAACCATTATTCTGAAATACCTAGACCAGCACTTTCCATAGAGATAATGAAAGTCACATATATGTAATTACAATTTTTTGCAGCCATATAAAAATTAAATTATGATTTTAAATAACATTTTATTTAATGTAATATATTAAAATATAGTTTTAATATATACTCAATATAATGACTTATTAATGAGATACTTTACATTCTTTTTTCTTTGAAATCTGGTGTGTATTTACACTTTCAGCACATCACTAGCCACATTTCAAGTGCTTGTTAGCTACATGTGGCATCTAGACTTTATCATGTCATGTGTCAAAATCTTAAGTTAAAATAGTGTGGCCTTTAGGGCCATATCTAATTGAGTATAAATTCCTACATTGCTCTTGCCAGCTATGTGGATTTGGGATAGTCTCTTAGCTTTTCTGAGCTTCAGTTTCCTAATATATAAAATGATAATATGAAATATGTGAAAAATAAAACCTAACAGTAGGCTGCCAATAAGTGGTAGCTGTTAGCAGTCGTCTGTATTCACAGGCTGAAGAAATCACAGAGTTGAGTGGTCAGATCAGAAAATACCTTTGAGATGGATTTTAAAATAAGACTCCTCTCTTTTTTACATATCCTATATAATAGAGAGCTAATATGCAAATGGTTGTCATGCTGTAACGGCTCAGACACTCAACACGGGGGAGAGAGGAATGCGGACCAGCCAGGCACAAATGAGCTCGCAAGAGAGGAATGGGGACCAGCCAGGCTGTGGCCAGGAGAGGGACAAGCTGCCCGCCCTGAGATCCTGGGTGCCAGCAGCTGCGCCTGCGGCCCAGGTGAGGGACAAGCTGCATGATCTGCGGTCCCAGGTGCTAGTGGCTGGGGCTGGGGCTGCAGCTTGGGAGAGAGACAAGCTGCCCGCCCAGCGGTCCCGGGTGCCAGCGGCTGCGCCTACTCCTGCGGCCCGGGAGAGGGACAAGCTGCACGCCCTGCGGTCCCGGACGATCAGTCAGGCAGAGGTAGTTAGGGGCGATCAGGCAGGCAGGCAGAGGGGTTAGGGGCGATCAGGCAGGTAGGCAGGCGAGCAGTTAGGTGCCAGTGGTTCCAGATTGTGAGAGGCAGTCAGACATCCCCTGAGGGGTCCTGGATTGGAGAGGGTGCAGGCCGGGCTGAGGGCCCCTCCCCCACATGCATCAATTTCATGCACTGGGCCTCTAATCTATATATATAAAAGCCTAAGTGACCATCTGACTGTCCAACCGATAGCTATGACACTCACTGATCACCAGGGGGCAGACGCTCAATGCAGTAGTGGAAACCACAGGCTTGGAAACATGGAACAAACTGATGAATCTCAGAGGGGAGGGGGAAAGGGGGAGGGCGAAAAGAGATTAATCAAAGATCTTAGATGCATATTAGAGGTCCGGTGCATGAATTCACGCCCTCACAGTTCGGGACCCCTTGGGGGATGTCAGAGAGCCAGTTTTGGCCCAATCCCCACAGGCCAGGCCGAGGAACCCTGCCAGTGCACAAATCCTTGCACTGGGCCTCTAGTATGTTAATAATTTGCCCACAAAAGGGGGCTTACATTTTACTAAATCTATTATCTAAGCTGTTCATGCTTACATATGTTACTTGGTTTTCAAGTATTTTGTTGTTGTTATTGTTAATTTGCACATGAAACCAAGACTTAAAATATAGTACTCAAAGTCCCTCAATAAATTGTTGATTGAGCCCAGCTGGTGTGGCTTAGCAGTTGAGCATCGACCCAGGAAAAAAGAGGTCGCCGGTTCAATTCTTGGTCAGGGCACATGTTGAGGTTGCAGGCTTGATCCCCAGTAGGGGTGTGTGCAGGAGGCAGCCAATGGATGATGTTCCTCTCTCATCGATGTTTCTATCTCTCTATCCCTCTCCCTTCCTCTCTCTCTAAAAATCAATAAAAACATTAAAAAATGATTGATTGAGCATTGTCGTCGCTCAGTGATTTGAATTTTGGCATAACTAAAACATTCATGGAAACAATCAGAAAGGCTTCTCTCTCTGCCCTCTAGGATTTTATGTTATAAGACACCAAGTTAAAAATAGAGCTCCGTTTATTGGCCTTGTTTATTACAACTTCTTATATCCTCAATTTGAAAAATGTTCCAGTGACAAGTCTCTTTAATTTTTAAATATTTTAGATTTTTTGTCTTAAAAAATAAAATTATGCTTTTAATTTTATTAATAAGATAATGCTTATTATTTGATCCCATATTAATAATCCAAGTGTTTATGTTTATCTACAATATAGAAATCCTGTTGGGTAACTTTAATGCAATTATAAAAATTTATTATTTTTATTATTACTTGTTATGTTAACTGATTTTCGAAACTGGTAATATGCATCTCAGCCTATTGAGAATGCTTGAAGAAAAGTATATACCAAATGTTAATAGCCATATCTCAAAACAAAACAATATGTTGAATTATCTGTATTAGTTTTGCAAAAAGTTCCTACAACATTAGAGTAATGACTGTATACTTATTCACCTGGAAATTTAGAATTTTTCTACTTAGTGACACAGACTTTTAAAAAAAATTTCTACAGGCCAGTGACATATCAGACATATCGGGAATGTACACTGGAGACCACAGTTCATGCCAGCGGCTGGAATAAGGTATTAACCAAATTATCTCTTCTCTTGTAAGATTTTAGTGTGTTAATGATAAAGTAGAGGAGGAATTGCTAGCATCCTATAAGAGAAAACTGTTAGAGCTCATTATTTAATGCATAAGTCCAACTGTGTAAAGTGGATTTTTTTTTGAGAACATGATCCACATTTTATTTACATTTTAAGACTAACTTTAATCTCAAAAATCACATACCCATTCACCTATTTCCTTTTTGCTGATTTCACTTAAAACTAAATGCATGGATTGTCAAACAAAGACTGTAAACAAATATTTACCATGTCTGTTACATGTAACACACAGAAACAGCTTTTAACAGAAATTCATTGACCTTCCCCATGACATTTTTTTATTGTAAACACAGGTATCAAAACAATCCTGAACATATTTTTGATACTATTGGTAGTCAGCACCCACACCACTTAAAAAATTAAAACAATTTGAGACAATATTCATTGTTCCTTCTACTTTAGACAATTTAAATTGAAGCTCTTTCACTAAGCAAGATGGATAAAGCATGCCATTTTTCTTTTTTCCTTCTTGAAATTTTTACTTTTTAGTAAAAATCACCGTACTTTCATCTTGTAAACCTGAATTCTATTTTTAATACTCCAGGTTTATGTTTAAATGACAGAGCCTTAAAAAAATTGTGCTGCAATTTTTCTCCTGTTACCTGAAAACATAATGTGTGTACATATATTAAATATATTCTTACACATGTCCAGGTCATGTTTACCAGTTGGCATTCTTTTACTTAATGTGTGGGTATTTTGCATTGTGATATTTAATCAAGACATTAACATGAGTAGGAGATTGTTGATTTAAGTTTGAGATCCATTAAAATTAATTATTGTATGTTTGTCGTTCTGGTGGCTGTGGAAGCTTCTTATTTTCTTTGGACATCATTAGATGTCTTAGTTCTTGCAGTACAACTTTAATGCTATGTGAATTTTGCCATTTTGCTAATACTGGCATGCTCTGTGCATCTGCCATTCCACTGGAATTATTTGTTCCATTCATATTAATTTTGGTTACAAATCTAACTGATGGAGGAGCTTCTGGGTATTTATGTCCACATTCGACTTTCAGGCTATATATTCTGTTTTCATAAGTTGTCCTTGGTGGCCCAGTAATCATGCCTGTCCACCTTGTAAGTGTCATATCTTCATCATCTTCAAGGCCCCAGCTAACCGTACCATCACCTACTCCTTTTTGTCCTTCTTCAAGTTCTTCCAACAAGCAAAAATTATGAGGAACTTTAACTCCTGTGGAGACCGCCATCTTCTTCTGCACACTAAAGTGGATATTTTTATTAAAGCGGCTTTAGATTAATGCTGCATGGTCTGCTTGGCCCCAAAATATATAAGTCCTATAGTATAGCGGTCGCCAACCTTTTGGACCTCACGGACCACCAGTGGTCCGTGGACCACCAGTTGGCGACTGCTGCTCCAAAGGTTTCCTATAGTATCCCACTCTTCTTTTCCATTTATCCTTAATTTCCCATCATTTTTTTCCCCAGTTTTAACTTTACTGTTTTAATATCATGAAATACAAGTACAATACATTGTACATGTATACTTTTTTACTACATGGATATGGAATAATACATTTGTGTTTTTACCAGAATCTGTATCACCCACTACTATGGTTTTAACATGAATAAAATTTAAAAAACACAAGTCTTTTCTACCGTTGTTTTTAATCTTAATATTCTTGTTCAGCTGCTTTGGAGAACAGCTAAGAAATGCAAAATCACCCTAGCCAAGAGTTTTGACTGGGTAATTTTGTTATTTCATGTTGGCTGAAATCTCCCTTATGGTGGCATTGCAAAGACACTGTGCACTTACAGGGGACAGGAAAAAGTGTTGTCTTAACAACCCTCTTAAAACTTAAGAGGGCAAATGACCATTTCCTATAATGTACAGAATATTATAAGTCACAACAACAGAGGACCATAAAGCTCCACATGTACTGAAGAAAAGCAAGTTTGCAAATATTTAAGTGAGAGTAACATCATATAATAAAGAAGTAAACTGTGCTAAAGTGTCTAGAATTCAGCCTCCTCAGCGTACATCAGTTTTCAGCCATTTCAACTAAGACTTTTCTTATGACAAACAAAAAATAATGAAAGTAGCATTTACTATGTTGGAAATGCAAAAAATAAAAAATAAAAATACTGCTAATCCCATAAAATATTTGGAACTAATTTTGTTTTCATAAATAAATAAAATGGTGTTGGTGTTTAACTCAAAGTTTTAATTATCATCCTTACTGTTTTAAAAAAACATTCAAACTAGTGCCAACCTTTAAGAATAAACTTTGGAATATTTAAAAGAACAAGTTTGGAAAAATGAACCACATTTTTCATTGCCAGAATTATGCTTTGTTCTTGGTAGAATCATCTTTGTTTCTTCTCTTTATGTCCCAATGATAAACCCTGGCCATACTGACTTCAGTGGTAGTAAATTGATCTTGAAGAAAGTCAAGGTCTTCCTTACGAGAATCCAGATTCTTTGTGGCAGTGGTTACATTTTTTTTCAACAATGCCTGAGCTTCATCAATATCATATTCAAGCATTACATTAGCCCCCAACCACAGACACACTTTATCGTTAGGAGGAACTAAAGCTTTGCAGTACAGGTTATCTGCCAGTAAGAATCTGGTCTCCATTGAATTGGTGTACTCTTTCTTCTTCTGCATGCATTTCAAAATTTCTAAAATCTGCTTTATTTCAGGAATCTGACCCTTTTATTTTATTTTTTTTGACTTTTAAGTCTTTTTTAAAAAATTTTTTTCTTGATTGATTAAGGTATTACATACGTGTCCTTATTGCCCCATTACCTCTCCTATCTCCCCCCCACCCCCACTCATGCCCTCACGCCCCTGTTGTCTGGGTCCATTGATTAGGCTTATATGTATGCATACAAGTCCTTTGGTTGATCTCTCCCCTTTACCCTCACCCTCCCCTACCTTCTCTCTGAGGTTTGACGGTCTGGTCGATGCTTCTCTGTCTCTGGATCTGTTTTTGTTCATCAGTTTATATTGTTCATTATATTCCATAAATGAGTGAGATCATGTAATATTTATCTTTCTCTGACTGGCTTATTTCACTTAGCATAGTGCTCTCCAGTTCCATACATGCTGTTGCAAATGGTAAGAAAGGAATCTGACCCTTCAGCCTCCTTTTCTTTTGAACAAGGTTGAGTTCCGTAAACTTACACTTCTGGTACTGTTCATCCAACTTCTTTAGCTCTGTACCCACAGTCTCATTCCCAGGCTGTTTCATGTAGGAATCCACATGTTCCACAAACAGCTTCAGGAATCCCTAGGTGGAGCCGCCCCCCGTTCCCTGAAGCCAGTTCTCCTAAGCCACAGGCATCTCTAGCCACCGCCATCTTCAGGAAGCGAGCATGTGCGACTAACTCTTCCCATCATTTCTTCATTTCTCTGTTATATATGACATTTACCTCCAGATTTTTACTAGTATATGTTAACATGTAAGTGTGTCTTGGGGTGGGGAAAAGAATAAGGGCTTCATTTTGGGAGACAACTTCTGAGTCTCTTAAATGAATAATAGTACCATTTGTGTTTTAGATTTTACAAAGTCTCTCATGTCACATCTCATTTGATCTTCACAACCACCCTTTGCAGAAGGCGGAATAGATTTTATTAGTTGTTATTTGTTTATTTAGGTCAGGTGAGTAATCAAAGAAAAAAGTTAGACTTGCCTAGGACCCCTACACTAACTAGTAAATATTTCTGAATTAACATTAGAGCTAAAATCTAATTCCAACTCCAGTGTACCACACTGCTTATCCATTATGTTAGACTGTATTATCTATATATCACTTTGAAAAGGCAGTCTAAAGGAATACAATATAGGATGGCTAAGCTCAATTTGAAGTTTGGCCTTGAGTGATAAAGTGCTAGGGATGAGAAAATTTGTGGAATTTTTCAGATAATCACCTTTATTGAGAATTGTTAGTAATAGGATTCTGATCATGTGACCTCACATACCTAACTGATTTATATTATTGTTACTCACCTTAATACAGGCTTTGGGATCATTATGGCATAATTAGCATCATAGGCTTTATTATTGGACTTTGTTTCAAATATCAGCTTTGCCAAGGACTAGATGCATGTCTTTGGACAGGTTAATTAAGCTTTCTAAATCTTAATTTTCACATATGTGAAATGGAATGATAATACTAACCTCATGCATTTTATGAGAATTAATGACATAATGTATGTTAAATGATTATTTAGCACATTGTCTGGCACCAGAGTAAACACGCAATAAACCATGGCTACTAAACACATGAGACCTTGTTCTGAAATAGTCACAATTGTGGAGTTTTACATGTTACTTGGCTGTAAATAATTAGTTAAAATATCTGACTATAGCCCTGGTCGGTTTGGCTCAGTGGATAGAGTGATGGCTTGGGGACTGAAGAGTCCCGGGTTTGATTCTGGTCAAGGGCACATGTGGTTACAGGCTCTATCCCCAGCAGGGGGCATGCAGGAGACAGCCGATCAATGATTTTCATCATTGATGTTTCAGTCTCTCTCTCCCTCTCCTTTCCTCTCTGAAATCAATAAAAATATATATATTTTAAAAATCAGACTGTATTTGCTTTTTTGGAATGAAAAAAAATTCTCATATGGACATTTGAAATAGATTTTTATAAATAAAAATGAGCTCTGTCATATTTCTTAGTATATCAAAGAACAAATATTTAGGTACCTAATATTACTAGCCTTCTTTTCCTATTATATATTCTCTTTCTTTCATCCCTGTCTAGTGAATGTTATTATTAACTCTTGTATGTCCTCCTCTCCTTGATCCTGAGGTTATCTTAAAAAACTTGAGTAAACCCCAGTCTTCACTGACTCTCTTCATGTGTCCTTTTCCCCCATGCTTTGTTTTAGTTCCACATCTGGACCAAGGGCTAACGGTTCATTTTAAAGTCTGTGGCTTGAATGC